ATAAAATATATTTTTACCAAAGCTAGTGGTAAGAGTTGTATAAAAAGAAAGAATATATTTTCTTTTAACCCAAGCTAGTGGTGACGGTTGGATAAAAAGAAATAAATTTTTTTTACCAAAGCTAATGGAAACAGTTGTATAAAAAGAAATAAGATATTTTCTGTATGTATGTATAGTATAAGGTTTTACGGCGCTCGCAACTTAAGATATTTTCTGTAACCAAAGCTAGTGGTAAGAGTTGTATAAAAAGAAAGAATATATATATATTTTTAAAGATAGTAGTGACAGTTGTATTAAAACAAATATAATATTTTTTACATCTGGTATTGGTGACAGTTGGATAAAAAGAAATAACATTTAAAAAAAAACTAAAGCTAGTGGTAACAGTTGTATAAAAATAAATAAATTTTATTTTTTTTATGCCAAAGCTAGATCTAGTTGTGACAGTTGGATAAAAAGAAATTTTTAAAAAACATTTCTGACCAAAGCTAGTGGTGACAGTTGGATAAAGAAATTTTTAAAAAATGTTCCCCAAATCTAGTGGTGACAGTTGGATAAAAAGAAATAAAATAGTTTTTTTTACCAAAGCTAGTGGTGACAGTTGGATAAAGAGAAATTTACCAAAGCTAGTGGTAACAGTTGTATAAAAAGAATTTTTTTTAAAATCCAAAGCTAGTGGTGACAGTTGGATAAAAGAATGTTTTTTTTAAACAGATAGTGGTGACAGTAGTATAAAAAGAAATATAACATTTTTTAAACCAATGCTAGTGGTGATAGTTGGATAAAAGATATATTTATTTTTTTCCAAAGCTAGTGGTGACAATTGGATAAAAAGAAATAAAATATCCTTTTAAAAAATAAAAGCTAGTGGTGACAGTTGGATAAAAGAAATAAAATATTTTTTTTTACCAAAGATAATGGTGACAGTTGGATAAAAGAAATAATTTTTTTTCCCAAAGCTACTGGTACCAGTTGTATAAAAAGAAAAAAATTTTTTTATACCAAAGCTAGTGGTGACAGTTGGATAAAAAGAAATAAAATATCTTCTTTTTTTTTTTTTTTTTTTT